AATATCATCGGGCGTGGTATCATTTAATAAAAGCTTATCTTATAGCCTTATTGTCAAATGACATTTGTTTTAGAAATAACCATTCCATAACAACAACAAAACTGTTTTACAATCAGACCTCAGAAAATGATGGCCTGTTCCTCAACTTGATGGAATGACCCGAATGTCAAATCAAAGGATCAGCTATTTTATATATCAGCTCCCTTTGGGTCTGCCATGAGAGGGGTTCCTAACCTACCCAAATTCAACTTTGACATTGACATCAATCAACCACACTACATTTTGTATGTTAATGATTTTCAAAACTGTACTTGAACTCCTACAGTGCACAATGCTTCAAGATAAGGCAAAGAATGGAGGCAAAGAATAGCAAAACGACAACAGAACTTACAATGACATCCTGGCCTTGTTCCTTGCAGTTGTCTCTTTCTGAAATATTCAGCACATTTGCTGATAATTTACATTAAAGATTGGTATCCATTTCTGTTTTGATACACCCTGTAGTGTATTCATACTGGAATTTGTATCCTTGTGGAGACATTTCTTTGTTTTCGTGTAGTTTTAAAATGCTCTTATTTTAACCAGAATTAACTTCCTTGGCTGAAATTCAGACTTAAAACTCTTCCATTTGTGACAGATCAACATGCATGTACATGTACATGTACTTTGGAAATTCCTAGTTTTTGAGTAAGGTAAATATCTATTTCGTGATAACCTTGTGGAGACATATTCATCTATTGAAATTGCCCTGTGGAGACGTATACAATCTTTTGATCCCGATTGTGTGCATGTCTCCAGAGGGCACGGTGTATCAGATCTTTGATGCCCATCTATGACATGAGTACATGTATTGTAAATTGTAGACAGGTGTTCTTGTGGTTTATGTTCAGTGGATGTCTCATTTGAGATGATGTGACCATGTCAAAATGTGCATCTTAAACTGCATCTTTAAGACTTTTTTCGCCTGATGTCCCTTAAAAAACATTTCATATCACATAGAAAAGATTATTCTTTTTTCCTGCAAAGAGAAACAATAAGAAATATGCCTTTCATTATCAAGCACTGAAAATGACACTGACTATTTGAAACGTGCATGAGGGACGGACAAAAGCTAAATTTACAAACACTAAGCTTTGCAATTAAGCCAAGACTGAATACTGTGATGTAAATGTTTTAAAAATTAACAACAAACCGGTACATACCCCCCTTAGGCTGTTCATTTTCGAATAATTTAGTAGTTGATTATTCGAAACTGAGTTTGACAGAATATTTTAATGTTCAAAACTAGCTGATCAAGTTCTACACACGCCAACTGCAACTGCGTGCCTCCCTGGTCTTAAGTTGCACTCAAAGTTTGCATGCAGGGATCAATATTATGGGCCACTGGAGTGTTTTGCAGTAATTAGTTTCTATTTTGTAAAGGGCTTTTATAAGCTACAATGTAAAAGAATGGAAACAATGAACCACTGATGACCAAAAAAACGTTGCCATCGGCAAAGAAGTGGCATCTGGTAGTGCGGTATTTTAAGTATCAATTACCATAATCTTGGTGTTTTTTTGTTTGAACAATATTGAGTGATGTTGCCACAATACGGGAAATACCGGTACCAATGAAATCAGTATTTAATTCACTTGGTAGTAGGCGAGGTTTGGGTTACTTGAACATTTTAATTGCAAAGGCGCCTTTGCTAGCAGCCAGCCATACAACCTATGCATGTACAGTATATGACCATGGAGCACAGCCATTGTTTGACTTATTCAGAGGCAGGAAAACTGGAGGGCCCTGAGGAAAACACTCATGGCACAGGAGAGAACCAACACACAACTCCATACGGTCCGTGGCCAGGAATGAACCAGGGCCACAGTGGTGAGAGGTGAGCACTTTATGCGAGCAAATATACTTTATTTAATTTTTTTGCCAAATATGGCAAATAAAGGTCGGCAATACAGCTGCCAAACATCCTAATTGGTCAGGTTACCATAAATACACTTTTTTCGGCCTGATCATCATGCTAACATGGCTACGCCCTGATTATGTACATGTACATGTCAAGTCATTGCAAAGTTTCTTCCAGTAGTGCACAGTTTGAAAAGACTTTCCAAAGCAAGGTATTCCCATTGTTGCTGTCTTTTTGTTATGATGTGGGATACCAAACATACATGTACAATGTACAAGTTTTCTTTTGTCAACATCCTTTTTGTAGTCATTTAGCTTCAAGAGGTCTTATTTGAAAAATGAATCCTAAAAGCCATGAAAAAAATCAACCCTAAAAGCCATGAGGTAATAGAATACATGTACCAGCACAGAAATAAAGGAACCAGCAGACCCCTATTAAACCTAACTTGAGTTACAGGTACCGGTATAATAAAGTGCCCTTCAGACAGAAATATGGATTGTAGGAAGTTGGGCACCTGGACAAGGAAAGATGATACTGCTCTCACCAAACCCTATAGGTCCAGATCATCTCACCATACGTGTACCATGCATCTCTACTTACAGGCACCAATCCAAATCAATATTTGTTATCTGACAGCTAGGGTCCCTGTACAGGTATGTAAGTGCAGCTCTAGGACTTCCATTTCATCTCGTAGGACAGGCATGATACCTAGCCCAGGTTGGACAAAGTCTTCATTGCAATACGACTAACGTCCAGGGCAAGAATTCTCTACATGAAACCACCCAACATTTTTACCAGAGTTTTGTTATGTTTTACCTCGTTATAGAAGCTTATTTCACGCCTACATACTCTATGTATCCTTATCTATTGGCCGCTGGGTTCAGGAATTCCATATGCGATGCTGACTGACGTTAATCAGGAAAATAAACTCCAAAGCAACGTTAAACTTGTACGTGTTTGTAGTCTCTTTTCATCAGTTTATTCCCAGAGTCGTACGTCATGCATCATGTACAATGTACATGATATGTACAAATGTACGTGCGTACGATCCGAAAGCGCGCACGCACGCTAGCGCCCTCATTTGTTTAGTTTTGGTTGGAACCGTGACGTCACTCCAGCCAACCGATGTCACGAAAACGCTCAACCAATGACCAAAGCCGAAACGTGTTTCTGGTAACTGGCGCGAAAACACGCTCGGTCATTGGATTAGCGACCGCGCCTTCAAGTAAGTGCGCGTGCGTATGAGGGTGGTTACTAAGCAAATCGCGCGTGTGCACTGCATATTCATGCGGCATAGTCTGTCCCTCGGACCAGATGTGATATGAGCGTCGAGAATAATTGTCCGGTCTAGGGAACCAGACTACACGCTGCACAGACGTTCATGGTATGATGTACGACTAGAATAGACTCGGCGGTGAGAAACTGATGAAAAGAGACTAAACACGTACAAGTTTAACGATGCTTTCGAGTTTATTTTCCTGATTGACGTCAGTCAGCATCGCATATGGAATTCCTGAACCCAGCGTGCTAACAGATAAGGACACATAGAATACTACGACGTAAAAATTAGCTTCTCCAACAAGGTAAAAATATTGAAATTATTAGTCAGAAATGTTTTCGTTCGGTTGTGAGCACATGTGTACTCAGGACTCCCTCCGTAACGTAGGGAGGAAAGGAAGTCCACCAGGGCTAGCATGATACCATATAAACTCAATTTTTACATTTGTCCATATAAACATGTATACATGTAGTAAGTTAATCTTAGTACCATCATCTTAATCCTCAATCTGTACTGATATCAGAGGTGGAGCATTTGGCACTTTTGTTGTTACTGGGGCATAGTGAAATCTGATGGTTTTGATGGGTGATGAAATTTTTTATTTCTACGGGTAGATGTTATAGCATCTACATTGTACCTCCCTACGACCAAATGTTGAAAACGGCAATTTATAGAGTATTCAGACCAGAATTTCCTGCTGTCAAAGGTGTACATTCGATAGCAATGTGCCCACTTAGGCTTCAGAAAGCATTTCACACAAAACAATTAGTTGGAAAGATCTATAAAAAGGGTAGAATATAATCCTGTCCAAACCTACACGTAAACACATGTACATGTACATACGTCAGTGTTGTAATCGAGTACTTTTTTCAGAGTACCGAGTACTACCGAGTACTTAGATTACGGAGTACGAGTACGAGTACCTGTACGTCCGAGTACAAGTACAGGTCTCCGAGTACGAGTACGAGTACTTATGAGTACGAGTACGAGTACTTAAATAGTGCTGCAACTGATCCTCAAAGTTTGATTCAGTTTGATTTTTTTTCTCCGAACTTCAGTTTGGTTCGGCTTTGGAAGTGCATACATAATGTACATGTCCATACAATGTATTGGGCTACAATGAAAAGCATACATGTACCGGTACATGTACATAGGCCGTTCCCCTGTTCGAACAAACATGTGTGTACCACGCATGCTGACAGAAATAGGCACCGCGATTTCCACATGCTATTCAACACAAGTTAAAGGATGAATCTTATTTTTGTAATAAAATACCGTTATAATTTGACTTGATGACGTTGAGAAATGAACATTGTAAATTGCTACCGTGTTAGTATCGCAGCCCTATCCGGCCCTACAACTATGATAAAATTGGCGATCGTGTAGTGTAGGGCCCGGTTCCTAACAAAATCCACTTTAAAATTATTAGACAGACCAAACTAGTTGGTTCTCAATAAACAGGTATGTCATAGATAGAGGGCAGGGTTTTGATTTTTTTTTTTAGGGAAATTTGGGGCTAAATGACGATGACAGTGCGGCGACACAACACGCAACCCGAAAATAAAGTTGCGATCACTGCGCAATGTATCGTGAGCACGCACGGCGCGCTGAATGTCGATGTAGTGTGAACGGTGTGATCACGTATCGTCGTACAAACGTCAGTGTATTAAGCACGTGTTCCGGCCTCACGGTCCAAATGTTCATGGAGCAACTATTTTATTTTCTACACCAAATGTGGTAGGGCTACGATGATCATTATACTCTATTAATTTTTAGTACTGTAAATGTTGTAAGCTGAACGTGATAAGTTTGCATGCACTTACCTTTGCGAAAAAAAGCTGGTTATTTTCCCCCCTAAGTTTTACTAGCCATCGCTGTACCAATACCGACACGGCTGGTTCCCCTCTTCCGGAGCTACAGCTACGTCTATGGTGATTGTGTAGTGTAGGGCCCGGTTCCTATAAGGGAACAAAATCCACTTTAAAATTACTGGAACTTCCAAACTAGTTGGCGACATTCTCAATAAACAGGTATGTCATAGACAGAGGGCAGGGTTTTGATTTTTTGAGGGAAATTTGGGGGTAGAATGATAATGACAGCGCGGCGACCCGAAAATAAAGATGGCGATCACCGTGCAATGTACCTTGAGCACGCACGGCACGCTGAATCGCAAGGCACAAACCGCGCAAGAAAATCGTGATTTCTACCCCAAGAATCTGTACAAAATTGCAAAACGGGTGTCATTAGAATTGAGAAAAGTCTGCTTTTGATTGTAAAGGTGATTTTTGAGCAATAAAAATTTAAAAGCATTTTTGACTCTAATTTGATCAAAACAAAACAGGGGCCCTACACTTCACGATCACCACGTCTATTGTCAGCCTGTCCCCGCATATTTTCAATGGGCGTGGACCTAGACCTACATGTAGGTGGGGCTGTGCGCCAGGCGCGGCACTGTCACTGGCCGTGCTCGTGGCGATGGCCGGAGGGGATGTGCGGCCAGGTGTGGCACTGTCACCGACCGTGCACCGTGGCGATGGCCGGAGGGGATGTGCGGCCAGGCGGGGCACTGTCACCGGCCGTGCACCGTGGCGATGGCCGGTGGGGATGTGGGGCAAGGCCAGGCGCGGCACTGTCACCGGCAAAGCACCGTGGCGATGGCCAGAGGGGATGTGCGGCCAGGCGTGGCACTGTCACTGACCATGCACCGTGGCGATGGCCGGAGGGGATGTGCGGCCAGGCAGGGCACTGTCACCGGCCGTGCACCGTGGCGATGGCGCTGTGCGCCGGTGGGGCTGTGCGGCCAGGCGCGGCACTGTCACCGGCCGTGCACCGTGGCGATGGCCGGTCAAGGGATGTGCGGCCAGGCACGGCACTGTCACCAGCCGTGCACCATGGCGATGGCCGGTGGGCTGTGTGGCCAGGCACGGCACTGTCAACGGCCGTGCACCGTAGCGATGGCAAGTGGGGATGCGCGGCACCGTCGCGGCGGTGCACCACGATAATGGCCGGTGGGCTGTGCGGCCAGGCGCAGCACTGTCACCGGCCGTGCACCGTGGCGATGGCCGGTGGGAATGTGGGGCCAGGCCAGGCGCGGCACTGTCACCAGCAATACACCGTTGACGTGGAACTTGGAAGGACAAGCGTTGACCGGTGACGGCCGGCACTGGGCGTACAGTGCTTGCACGTATCCGTACTCAAAATATTGGAGGAACTGGCAATGAACGTTGCATTCTGATACTGCCAGTTCCATTATAAATAGGGTAAGAGCTGGTATTTTCGACCAGATGAGAATTCGACCACCCGTTACTTATTGTTTAATAACATGCGCCCGAGGTATCATGTTAACATAATAAACTTTACACATGATGTTCAGTTCCTGCCCTTGATTGTCCATTGTTCAGAAGTCAGAACAGCTCCCTGAAATCTTTGTAATTCAGTCCAAGAATTGAACTCGCGTAATCAGGGCCCAATTTCACGGCGCTGCTTAACAGTTAGCAGAAAAGTTGTGTTTAGCATAGCAGAAAAATTTGCTAACCTTAAGCACTATTTCACGGCGTGTGTGTGCTAACGGTCCCGCGTGCATGGAGATTTCTATTGTTACGTCACTAAGTTAAGCAAATTTTTCCTCTGAGGTAGGCATGCCTTTTGCTATGCTTATGCTTACGGTCTCCATGAAATAGACGGAGGCTCTGTTAGCAGAAAATCGTGTGCTTAGCAGCGCCGTGAAATTGGGCACTGTTGCGCGGTGGGGCGGCCATGTTATTGGGTCACGTAAGAACACGGGTATCATTGGTGGCGCTCTTTGAGACTTTACAGTGGTGATGATGTCAAATCAAGCCAACCTGTCAATCATTGTGGGTTAGGTCATCAGACAACAATTAGTGGGCAAGGCTGATAAAGGGGTGATCAAATTATGACCAACAGAGGGCGCTACTGCTGCTGTTTTCGATCACCGCGCTAATATTGTATTGATTTGGCACGTTGGGGCGCGAGGTTTGAGATTTTAAGAACTGATTTATTTTCCCTGGAAATATTTATTTTTATAATGTAATTTATTGTAAAGAAATGTAAAAGTGGTGGGAAAAAAAACTTTCTGTTAAAAACAAAACAATTAACACGCCCTAGGCATTGGCCCGCTCGAAAACAGCTACATGCTGGTCGAATTTTCCCACACAGTGACCGCTCGTTCAAAAGGTCAAAGGTCATACATCGTGACCATCAACACTGACCAGGTAAGTTCTAAAATAAAGATAAAAGAGTGCTTATGTTATCCATTTGGAGTTTGAGTTTCTTCCCCCCATTTCAAAATAAAATGGACCAAGTTTCCCTTATGTGTATCGTTTCGGTTTGTGGTAACACCATGTGGTAATAACTACTGCTTAGAAGATATTAGATACAGTCTCCTGACGATGACTAGAGCAGGCTAGTCGAAATGTTGATAATAAGCAGGACAAGTTCTTTTCAGAACTAATATCTTCTAAGCAGTAGTTATTACCACATGGTGTTACCGCATACCGAAATGATACCGATACCCCACCATGCAAAGCCTCAAATCTTATTCCCTTATCTGGTCGAATACTCCTCCTTTTACCCTACAATAGGCTATTAGTAGGCAAGTCAACATTTTTTAAGTTTTATATTTGACTAAACTGTTTATATATTTGGATTCAGCTCTGCAAAACATACAAAATGACACCAAGATCACCAAATTTGGTCATGTACTTTGTGTGATACGAGCATTTAAAAATGCTTAATTTTGTCCGATTTCTGCCCAAAATGGCCAAATTTGACAAAAATGACTTTTGGCAAACTTTGACAGTGTATAAAATTGAACTTATTATCATTAACCCTGTTTTTCCTCCATTTGTCCATTATATAGGTGAGTTCCTTCAAGTCCAGAAAACAAAAGGCATTTTCTCCAGTTCATAATAAATAAGTACATGTACTCCATAATAAATAAGTACTCCAGCCTTGAAATTCTCCACAATAGTTCTTTATGCTAAACACCACATCCCCAAATTTTTTCGGTTTTTATACCAACAAATATGCAAATGAGGACACAAATTAATATCCTTAAGTACAGTGGATATGGGAAAACCACCTAATTAATATGCGTAAATGCAATATCTCACTAAATACGACTGCTAGGCCTATAGCTCTCAAACTTTGCACAAATATTGTTTATGATGACTTCCACCTGCTTTCTAGATGTAACTGTCTATGTACCTTCAATAATGCAAATACAGATACTAACTAAAGCGGAAATAGGGAGATCCGCCTAATTAATATGCATAAATGTAATATCTCACTTAATATGACTGACTACAGCTCTCAAACTTTGCACAACTATTGTTCATGGTGAATTCCACCTTCTTTCTGGTTGTAATCGTCTGTGTACCTTCAATTATGCAAATAAAGATACTAATTAAAGCAGGAATATGAAAGGCATCTTTGTAAATTGTAGCTCAGAGAGCAAATCTCAATGGAAATTCTTAGTGCCTCAAGGAGGGCCAGGCATGGTACAGGGATCTGTCACCAGTGATCTGTAATGAGAACAAAAATAAAAGGGTACTTTTAACAAAAAAGTCTGTATGAAGATTTTGTTAAAATATCAAGGAAACCAATATGGAAAGATTAGATTAAATGTAGATGACACAGAAAAAGATTAGGAGGGAACAAATAAAAAGAAAGGAAAATATCACAAGAGAAAAATCAAAAAGGGAGAAATATCATACAAGAATGTCCTTTACTTATTAGTATTCTTGAAAAGTACTTATTGCTTTTATCCAGAAGGAAGAGTTTTGAAATTATTCACTATAAACAAACAACATTTATCCCCAAAAATTGTTAGTACAACGACTTCATTTCACACTTCCCCAAAATCAGAGGGAGTACCGATAATCACAAGAATGGGTTTGACCTATACTATACTGCACATGCGCTGCACTGCAGAATTCGAGTGTGACCCATCCAGCTCTCACAGTGAAGTTGCTGTTAACCCACTAAAACTCACTCCCCCATGCACCCCCCTGACAACCAACGTCACATTTTTGCAATTATCTTTATTATTTTTTCTCGTTTAAACCATATAAATACATAAAATACATACATACCTGGAACTTCGTGATGTAGAATCAAATGGTTAAGTTCTGTGCGATTCCAGCCGGAAACTTACTCGCACATGTCGCCATGTGAATCGCGCGGCAGCTCGCCACTGCTCTCCGCCATTGTTGGCGCCCGCCACTCACAGACCGCGGTCGTCACAATTCAACTGAAATTTACGATGTGAATTCAAACAGATACAGAAAAATTTTGTCCAGCAAACTTGTAGAAAATAAACTCCCGATTTCAAATAAATAGGTACTTTTTGTTGATTGTCCAGAAGATCGGGTGTGATGTCGGTCGAATATGGAGTATCGGAAAATACAAATGCGAAAAGTTTTTATCCTTCCCAAATGGAGTACTTCAACAGACTTTCACCTCGTGACATGAAACTAGCGATCATCCTCTTTCTGAAAAAAGGGTGATTTTCTGATATACATGTACTTTGAAGGATTCACACCGTAAACGCGATTTGAATGTCGATACATAGGTTTGCAACGCGGTGATTTGAATGCCCCCCTTAGTCCAAAATGGCGACGTCTGCCGCAGCAGGGGGAAAAGGGAATTTTCAAACTTTATTTTCCAACCTTATTTTCAATACATAAATAATAATAAAATGATACATTGAAAGATGGAAGAATAAATATATGAAATATTGATTTTTTTTTTTCTAAATTACAAAATCATAGTCTGGTTCCCAGACCAAACGATTCTGACTATTCCTGATGAATCTTAGGTCAGGTAGCCTCCGGTAATACATTGTATTACAATTTACATCAAGTGACTAAAACGGGAGGAATTCCTTATTTTTCCGAAAATTTCCTAAGTTTGCCGAATTTGTTTCGTCGACAATTGG